TGTTCCTGTATTTAATGATGATGGCTAATGCACAGAATCGGTGCTGGAAGTAGGTACCAGAACCCAGTTTTCTCTGTCCCTGCCAGGTGACTGCCAGCTCCAGGGAAGCTCAGAGAAGAGTACTGCATTTCCAGATAGTTTGAGTAACAACTAAAGCAGCTCTTCCAGAAAGGCATCTTGTACTCAGAAGAGCACTGGAAAATGAAGGATCCACTGTATTACTTTATAGCTTGTTCCAGTGATTAAGCAGCTGTACTTTTACAAATGCCATCTTGTTTTAAATTTGAATTTGACTTCTATTTCTGTCTACTCTTTATGCCTTTCTCTGTTACAATGAAGTGCCCTTTGTTTCCTGTTTTTCTCCCTGAGGATGTTCTGACACATCATAACTGTATTTTCTATTAGCTTTCTGTTGAAGAAACTAACAGATTTTTAAAGCCTAACTAGCAGTGCTAGCCCTCAATAATTCCCTTTTCAGTACTCCTTTTTTTTCCATTTCCTTTCAGAATTGCGAGTCATACATCATAAGTGTCACTCACCAAAGCAGTATACAAAGCTAGGATCAGCATTATGCTCATCTCTTGTTCATATGTATCCGAAGATCCCACAGAAGCAGATGATGAGTTTTTCACTGTAATTTCCAGTGTCATTGCTTTCTAGGGAGTTAAGCATTGCTTTTGCCCTCTGCACTAGATGTAAAAACTGAACACTGTGCTGATGATGTACACGGGCAGTTGATGGGAGCCAGCCAACAGAAGAGGCCAGGTTGCTCTGCCCGTGTCAGTGTTTGCCCACAGGCTGTCAGCCACAGCTTTTATCAGCAGTGACTTGATACTTTACCTCAGGATCAATGACTGAAAGAATGGATAACAACTTTCTCAGCAACTCTAACAAACAGAAATCAGCAGGGATTTCTTAGAGGGATATTTTTTATGCTCTACTACTAAATCACTTCACTAGTTAGAAGGTAAGCGTAAAGAACATTTTTAAGAATAATGTTCAGATGGAAAGCACCATGGTAATTGTGAAATACACTAGAGCGATCTTGGGCCTTTTCTCATTCCAAGCAGAATGCTGATTAACTTATTCATTACACTAAAGTGGTGAAGTATAAATTATTTATGAGGAAAGGATTTATTTTTCCTCTTTTTGGGCTCAAGTCATTACAAATTGGGCTCTGCAGCCACAGCTGTTTCTTTTAGAAACTAAATAGCTGTGAAAAACAGGCCAAGTAGAACACAATTCTGATTTCAACTGCAAATATTTAGAAATTTAAAGAAAGCCAGCAGGTAAAAGCATTGCATATTTTTTCATTGGTACAGTGAAAACTCAATCATCACTAAGTAAGTTAAAGCCAAACTACCAGGGTGCCACAATCACTACAATTAAACATATTCCATTATGTGAAAGAAAAGAGGACATGGGCCATGTAGTGCACAGCTGTCACCCCAAAGGACCCTCCAGAGAAAACTGAGAAGCAACAGTAATTTTTTAATAGCACTGATGGGCTCCTACTGGATTTAAACAGACTTCAGACATACTTGTTCCCCAAGTAACAAAGTTCTTTACTGAAACATTATGACAGTAAACAAGAATGAAGAAGAACGAGAAAAAAAGAATACAAAAAACCCCCCAAATAATTTAAAAATCTGCAGTGGCAAAATGATAAGGTTCTACCTAAGATGGAAGTTTCACATCTTGGCTGAGTTTCTTGGTAGTGTTACTGTTTTATAACATTTGGCTGGACTATGTCAATGTGGAGAAGTATTCATGGGGAAATAATTATCAAACAAATTTGAATCTAACCAGTTTCAGTTCATTGTGTATTTCAGACCCCTTAGGGCCTGACTAAGGGAAAGGCTAAACTAACTTCTTTTCTAATGGTCTTTCATTGACAGCAGTAGGGTTATTCAATTCACTGTCACATAGAATTTGGATTAGTGCACATCCAGGGCTATACCAATTTACTCTAGCTGTTATCTATTATTTCAATGCCAATTTACAAACATTTACAGACCAAGCTACATCAGCTACCAAAGTGTATGTATAGGGCTACCATCTAAAAGAAGTAGATGCCCACAGCTGAGGTAATGCACATGAATCCTAATTGTCACTTCTTGGCTCTCTAGTTCTTGGTGGGGTCTGCCTTTGTAAGGAACAGATGCATTTCATGACATTGAAAATGCTGAAATTTTGCAGAAAAAGTAGTTATGTATCTGTCTGCATATGCTGTGTGGAACCTTTAATAGCACAGATCACCTTACTTTTCAGTGTGTGAAAAAATCAACAGAACAATAATGTTCTGGCTGAATCCTGAATGTTACCGATTGTTTTCAATACTCAGCAAGATGAGTAGAAACTGAAATTGTGCAGAGAACAGTTTGTAAAACAAAACCACCCCGTGCATCTAAGATTAAAACCTGCAGTCGAAACAAATATATGAGGCTACTAAGGGGACCTATTTATTCCTCAAGAAACCATCTCTCATTGCTGATATCACCCCAAATCTAACTTAATTTCTTAGAAGATCCATCAAGATCTCGCTGACCAGTCTGCCCCAGTGTAATTTGGTTCTGCACATGGTGTCAGCCATGCTTTTGCTTAGCTACTGAATGGAGGCTGGGCTGGTGTGGTTAACAGAACTCACTGTGGGAACATGTGGCATGGGGCCGTTTATGTGAGAGCAGCCACTGTTAGCCTGAGATGGGAGCCGCTGGTATGTCTGGAGGGCAGTCACTCTCTCCTCTTCCTTCTGAGCTCTGAATGCCTTTGCATTTTAAGCTGGTCTGGGCAGAACTTTACAACTTAGTTTTGGAAGCATGTGAAGGCACCATTTGTCAGGTCTTTAACTTCAGATTGGTCAGCACAACTTTCTGAATATTTATACGGTGTTCAGTCTTTACTCTGGGCCAAGCATGAGCTGCCTACAGAGAACTACACCACAGCTACAGCAACTGACTTCAACTGTCATGTTCTAGATGGAATCTCAAACATTTACTAATCAGAAAACAAGCCTTCCACAGTTAGGTGTATGAATACCTTAAGTCTGGCCTTCTCCCACCACAGTGAAGGAAATCAAGTGGAAGCTCTGGAGCAAGTTGTTGTGTGCCCATAACACACTGCAGCTATTCATCAAGCAAAGATTTTTAAAGTCACATGCAAAATATCAAAGAACATCAGCAAAGACTTCTAAGAACAAAGGAGTATGAACATGGAAGATATTTTACAGCCTTGCCATATATTAAACACACTCAGCTAGTGTATATTCTGCTAGACTTTGTGAAGAAACCTTCTGTACTCCTGTCAGTTACTAGCATTGGTAAATCAAGTCTAGAATTAAGAGCTCAGAATAAATATACATAAATGAAATTCAAACAACATACCCATTGCAAATGAAGTTGCAGTCCAGCACTGAATTAACATACTCAATGCAAATAAACTTTTAAAAAACCAACTTTTAAGTGGAAGGAAGAATTTTCTCCTTTCTGAAATCCACCATTACTTAACACCCATGTTATTTAACAGTGTAGACACAATGACATACAGCAAGTATGCTCAAACTGGCATGAAAGTAGATTTAGAAGAGTACAGAAAAGGCCCTCAGGAGGCGTTCCTGTATACCACAGCAGATCCCTGATCCTGGCTCCTGCAATGTTCCAATCTCAGCAGGAACTTGGTCTTGTGTAGACAAAAGGCACTCACAACCCATTACATCCCGTCCCACTGAGCATCGGCATTGCCCTGTTTATACTGACTTTTGTCTAGTGCCAGCCTTCACCTTCAGGTATTGCTAGACTCTCCTCTCACGTGTGTTCCCCAATTCGCAGTCTGACCAGACAAGTTAGTAAAATACTTGCAGCCCGGCAGGGATGGCCTTGCTGATGCCGTTTCATCCCAGCCCTGCACAGGTGACTAGCGCAGCTCAGCCACAGGAACACGCTGCACAGCGTGGGAAGGATGCACTTTGCTCCAGCAGGACATGTTATTTTTCTCTTCAAAAGGAGAGGGGATGGGGGTGGCAGCAGGGCTGGAGACCAGGTGAGGGTGGGGAGAGGAAGCAGCCCCAACCTGCCCCACACGTGAGGTGTGCGCGCCCTGCACAGCTCGCAGCACTGGCTGGGGAATGGCACAAATCCACAGGAGCAAGCACGGCTTTTGGAGCTGCACTCCAAGTGACAGTTTTTAGAGTATTCTTCTAAGAAGTATGAAGATTTATGTTGAGTCAATTCACTTTTTACAGTAGCCAAGTCACAACAGTAACTGCTCATTCAGTTTCTGCTTATGCTTCTCCACTTCATGATCTGTTAGACACCTCAAATTGAAGCTGGCAAAAATTAAACGTTCTCACTTCAAAGTCCCTTTCCTGATCCTCTCTGTTCATCTTTATTTTTGCAGCTATTGATAGACCTGGCTGATGGTGCAGTCCCAGATACAAGAATTTTAAATTTATCCTCTTAAGAGACTTATGTTGGCAAATTGTTGTATTCCACTTAAATTTCCAAAGGCCCCAAAAAGTCACGTAATTAAAAATTAGCAGTAATACAGGCAAAGCTAGAAAGCAGTAGCTGTCTTGGATCAGAATAGTGACTCTTTTTAATTAAAGTAAATGCGAAGAGAGAATTACTCATGAAAGACAGGACTGCTTTTTTTCTGTTTGAAGAATGCAAAGTCTTATAAATTACTGAGTCAATATTTGCAACCCAAGTCAGAGACTTCAAACCACTCACTCTAGAAAAGAAGTATAGAGAGGAGTGCCACCAACAGTTTCATGTAGTCTTAACTTTTTCATGCTGTCCAGCTACTTACTCAGATAGTATATCATATCCTATTTTCCACAAATCTTTTTACCCCTTCTGCTTTTCTCGTTAACATACTTGTTAATCATGCTTCTTTTTGGAAAATCTGAGCAGATTTGCACAACAATATAAAACTATGTATTATTAAAAACTGGCATAGGTGATACCACATTACAGTACACTTACAGAGAAAAGCCTTAGAACCACAAGTCCACAAATTTTTTTATTAAAATAACACCAAGTTTAAGAAATCAATGCAGGGCAAAGAAACTTCAACTCATCATACAAAAAAAAAAAAAAATGTTTTTCCGTCCTTAATGTAAACTGCATTCAAATCCTGACATGATTGAGATAATACAGAAACACTGTATCCCATATGAATGACAAAGTTAAAGACTGGCATGCTGGGCAAGGAAGGTTCTTATTCTTTGCAAGAGCTCTTTCTTTACACTGTCTGGTACCAAGGCTGAAACAGAAATAAGAAGCAAGAAGTAAAAAAGACAAAATGGAAAATATGCTAATATCAGCCTTTTACAACTTGTTTCTTTGTTCTTACAGTTAATACCTACAGTAACTGAAGCTAATTGATTTTCATATTGCACATCTATATTTTTCCCATCTACAATTGGCTGAAATTGAAGTCTATTGAGAACACTTGTTACTGGTAGGTTTTTGCCTAGCCATACTCAAGAAAAGTTTGAGGGAAAGGACTGTTCAACAGTAAACAGGATATAATCACCAGAAACTAGTTTGATTATCCTACCTTTTTTCTTCACAAATTTAAGACAAAAAAATAATCTCAGCTATGACCTCAGAGCAAGGGTCTTCAGCAGGTTATATTCAAGGCCTGTTTTTATTTAAGACCTAATGATTTTTCTCCCACTAGCATCAAAGCCTATTAGAGAGGCCAAAAAGAACTGTATAAAGAAGATTGCAGTACTTCCTTAAGATATTCAATTTTTCTGTATCTGTATGCTATGTCCTTTTTTCTTCCCACTTCCCATTACACTAGTACCATTAGTTCTGATCTTCCATCTTAAAAAGAACTGGAATTTTACAACATGTCTGCTGTGTACCCCACGTTTCTTGGGATCATTACGTTAATTATAAAAATGAATACAGACTCATGACTAAATAATGTAACCTGCAAAAGTAGTCTACACACAGAGCTCATTACAGATTTTGAATGGCTGTTACACAATACAAATTTACGTTTAATTTCTAGTTAATATCAAGATATTAATATTTTTCCTTGAATCCAACACAGGCAAGTTCATGATACTGCTTTCAAAATATTAATGAAATACAGAGAGGTATGTTTATTGATGTACTACCACACCCATGCTTGCATTTTCTTACCTCTGCCTTTGGGAGTGATTTCTGCCACCAAATCATCAACAGTAACATGCTCTAATCCTTTTTCTTTAATGACATCTGGGGAAGACCAAGACCAGTATTTTAAGTCTTTTAATCCATTCATTAGAAGACAAAACTTGTGCCAATGATTAAGAGACAAAACCTGCATGCATAGGTCATCAAAGAATATCAAGTACCATGTGACCTAAATGTAGGTTATTAATTTAGTACCTACTGCACTGTACAGTGGATTTAGTCTCTCATTCATACCATAGGTTTAAGGATAGGAACTCATCACTACTGATGCATCTTGATCAGCTCGTATATTAAAGCCAAACGTTGCAAAGTTTAAGCTTATCTGAGCATTACTAGATGTGCATATTACTAGACTGTTGCAGCAGTTCCCAAGTTGGTCCTCTTTATCTCTTCAAACACATTGTTTACATAATAGTGAGAAAGAGATGCAATTGGAAAAAGACTTTGGAACACACAAGGGAGAGCGCAGAGACAGTAAATACTACTCTTCCTAACTGGTTTAAACATCTTTCTATAGATCTCAGCAAAGTAAAAAAGCATATCTGAAAGATAGATATGCACAAAATAAAAGCTATGATTAAGATACACTGTATGATTAATACATACCAGTATTTAAACAATCGTTTATTTAGAGTGTCTTGAAGATTACTGAAAATGCAGAAGTCAATGCTGAGAAGAAACCTCAATTCAGTATCATAAACCTAAACTATTTTGTCTAAACATGAATGTTTTTAACCGCATGTCAGTACATAGGATGGACTGTCTCCAGGACATATGTTTTCTGAACTGATATCACATGAACTATTTGTAAACTCTTCTCCTTGGCTGAATTCCCTGTAGGAGACAATCCTGGATTGCTCAATTATTGGCCCTAATCCACAATGGCAAGAGGGTCTAGAACAAGCTACCAAAAACCTGCCACTCCCACCCCAACAAAACAACAACAACAAAACACCCCAAAATCCCTCTGTCCTTTCTTTTGGAGGTTATTAGGCCATTAACAGGGACAAATGAACCTCTATTTGCATTCTCAGCAGCTGCAGTTACAGTTCAAAGCACTAATGTAAATCAAATAATTCTACATAACTTTACTATAGCAGAATATAAAGTGTATAGTTGAGAAGGCAGATAAACATCCGTTTCACTATCTGTACTACTGAAATAGGTAATCTCTGGCAGTGGCATCAGGCAGCCAACTGCAAGCAGGCATTTCAGCCTTCTCTGCACATCCACCTATGAAAACAATTTAACACACTCAACCCTACAAAAAGAAAAACTTTGTGATGGAATATTGAGTTGCCAGGCACAACAGACCAAATTAGAATTAAAGCAAAAGCTCAAGTGATTTGTTATTCGCTGTAAGGAAATTTCATCAAGTGTTAATATTCCTAGATGCTTAAATACTATTTATAACAGTTATATACAGTCAGTAAATGGTAGTAATGCTAAATGCTTAACTCAAAACTAAATATTTCAGTATTTAGATGTTCATCTGCTTGTTTTCTCTCATCTAAGTGCATGATCTTATTTTCAAGAACCATATTCGGAAAGAGTACAAATGCACTTCTTTATCTCCTATATGTGGACAACAAAGTTCTCTTAAGTTTCTTAGTTGTGTACCACTGTATTTGCTCCATTTTTCCTTTATCTTGGTTTTTATTCTCCTGTGGTAAGAAAGCCATCTCAAAACAAAAAGATTTATCATAATTAGTATTTAGGGATTCAATTCCAGTATTTTTCTCAGAAGCTTATTAAGGTTCAGATCAGAGAAGAAGTTTCAAGATTATTTTGCTGAGATGACAAGATGCTTTCTTCCATGCAAAACCAATTACCCAGAGTACTTTCCTCTTGCCCAAGTCTCATTTAAATTGACTGTTAGGCAAGCTGAGACTTTTATTTGGCCAAAACCTCAGTTGATTACAAAGGATATTAGTTATTTGACTACTGTTACCTTTGCAATGTGCCTTCAACTGATCCTTCCAGCCGCATTCAATTAATTTGGCTCTCAGCAACTCCTTAAGGCTGTTAAGACAATATACAAACTTGTTAGAAAAACCAAACATTCCTGACAGTGCAAATATCTTCAGTGTAAAAGTTAAGCCTACAATTACTACTCACAGCAAAAGTCCCAGACCAGCAGCAGAAATGGCTGAACAGTATGTGAATCCTAACCTGAATGAGTACCAATTTCAGTTTACCATGTTAAGCTATGAGGAATTGGTGGCTCAGAAGCTAATTCACAATATTTCTTCAGGCAGCATTGATGCTGCAGCCACAGAAAAGAGGTAGAAGCCCTTGAATCACTTGAACTGCCAAAGTCTACTCTGTTAGCAAATGTATGGTAACTTTCAAAGTTAAAATATTTCACCTGAAACCAGGCCTTAAAAATAAATAAACAAACCCTTCCCCCCTCCTTTCTGAAAGGAGAACTCTGCTACACTGTCATCGACTGCAGGTTTCTCTCCCCAGGTACACTTTACCGCATGTTGGGTGAAGTCAAAGGGACCGTATATCTTATCTTCCTAAGTACGGTTAGCAATTATAAGCATAAGCAACAAAGAATCAGGCATTACGTGGAGAAGACAAACAACAAGCTGCCATAATAATACATCTACTCCATATATCAAAAGAAAATACTGAAAGCTAGCTAAGAAAGTGAAAATTAGTACTGCAAAACAGAAGAAGGGAAAATTAAAGTAAGATATGATAAAATAAGCTTTAGCATCTTTATCCTTTATTCCATCAGCTAGCAAGCCTACTTACCTTGTACCATCATAAATAACTCTAGCAAAATTCTGGTTTTATGAATGAAAGGATTGCAGCAAGAGACTGAACTGTGTAGGTCTAATCTCTTTTACCCAGTGAATTGTGAAGAGGGCAGATGAACTGGTAACAAAAAGCAGAGTAACAATACAGGTGACATTCACTGATTCTGGGTATTTCTTAGTTTAAGAAATATGAGCGCTCTCTCTGATCGTAGTACAGCTCTGATAAAGCTTGTTTATAATACAGCTTTTGGCATCTTGTCAAAACTCTTCTTACTCTTAAATTACAATAAAATAGGTCCCAATACCATTTCAAGAAATTGCTTGGTCAGCTGAAGCTCTGCAATCTCCAAGGGGACGGTCGCAACCAGGAAAGAAGTAGAGCACAGACACTATGTCAGTCTACAAAAGGTTTCCTAAGGTACAGGGCTGTGTTATGACCTAGGAGGAAGACTCCTTGTACAGGCCTTGAAAAATGAAGGAAATAGCTTTTGGTGCATGGTGTAACAAATACAGGGAAATGATGATAAGGAGAATGTCATATACACACTAGCGATACGTAAAAACAAAGCAAATAGAACATACTGAAGAGACAACAGAAGGCCAAAAACTAGCTGCCACATGACATTGCATAATGTACTTATTTGCCTTTATTGGGATCTCTACAATGACTTGCACAAGCACTGTTCTATGTGTTCCACTGTATATTTCTTTCCCTAACAGCAGAAGAGGGAGGAACACAAGAAAAACGTAAAAGCAAAAAAAGGAAAGTTTTGTCTCATTCTCTTTATCAGGAAATATGATTTAACTGTGACAAACTGCATTTAATGGAGATTTTTATATGAACCAAGAGCTTTCCAACTGAAAATACTGGAATAAAAACAACCTTTAGCATTCATAAGCCAACCACCCATCCTTTATTTTTCAAGCTTCTCAAGTGTAAAACTAAAATAACTGTTCAAAAGGCAAAAATAATGGGTTTGGGGTGTTATTTAATATATAGCTTCACGTGATGCACAAGACTTTCACATGCAGGGATTTAGACAATTAAAGAGTTAAATTTACTTAATCTTTACTTCTAGGTACAGTTCAGGTTTGGTAACATTTAAAGCCTCTTACTGGCAAGGAGCAGAAAGCCTACTTACCGTTCTCGCTCTCCTGTTTCTATTAGCTTTTGGTTAATGGTTGCTCTCATCTGGGCATCTTTATTCATTTTGGAAACCAAGGTTTCTCACAAACCTACACAGAGCAGAAGAGAGTTTTAACAACTACTGATGACACTGACACGACAAAAAGAAGTCACTTGTACAGAACTACACGCAGCGCCACGTCCATTTATTTACACACGGCGGCAGCCTGTGACCGGAGCGCCAGTGTGTGACCAGCTCAGGGGACGAGGGTGCACACCGAGCACCGGAACACGCCATGCCCCCGGCGGCACCGGGAGGCCCCT